GGGGGGGGGCTCCCCTAGTCCCAGTGACAGGTTGTGGGGGTCCCCTAGTCCCAGTGACAGGTTGTGGGGGGGTGGGGGTCCCCTAGTCCAAGTGACAGGTTGCTGCTGCAGTGGGGTTAGCTAGGTTTGGTAAGTGTGCATGCAAATGCAAACACAACAAATAGAAAATAAAACGAAGCAGGTGGTCAGGATGTGTGGGTTTCCAATGGCTGCACTACAGACATGTTTCTATAATAAGGATTGCATTGGGATCAGCCCTCAATGTGCAGCAAATAATTGTAATCCAAATGCAGGTGATCAGGATGCTGGGTCTCCAATGAGTGGATTTACAGTGAGTCCCTTTCTAGCTCTCTCCTCTGTGGGTGCAATATGTACCAAAACAATGCTTCCAGCATGCTCTTTATTGCCAGTAATGCAGAATACAATGTGTCAGGCTATTCCCCAGCCATGCAGGGTCTGGGAGATGGAGCAATGTGCAGACTGTGAGGGTCTGGAAGATGCAGCAAGCATGCAGAATCCAGCAGATATGTTTATACAGCATCCCACACCCCCAGGGAGGTCATATTATTATTATAACATGGAGACACACATCTGATACACTCCTGATCCCAAGATATTGCTACAGTATCAGTAACTAGTCATTGATTAAGGAAGGCTGCGGCTATTGACAGTCACAGCACGCCCAATAATCATTGCACGAACCACTGGAGGTGAAATAATACACTAAAACTCAATCGCTTGCAGCGATCGTTGCGTAACGGAGGTGCCCGGACACTCAGCAACGCAACGTTGCTGTCGCAACTCGGCTTTGAGAATAGGAGCATGCGCAGTAACCAAGGGGGGAAAGGAAGGAGCGGATTGCATAGAAACGGCGACGCCAAGCGGGCGGACCCCAGCCTGCTCCCTTGACGCTTAGACTGGCTTGAGCAGGGCGGAGGGTTCTGGGAAATGGAGTTTTAGAAGTGGAAGAATTACGTGAGGACGTGTGGCTGTGACGTCATTAAAGGACTACGAATCCCCTAGTGCCGCTGAGTCCCGCTACTCTCAACGGCTGA